AATTTGGTCTCTTCAAATCTAGTATTTGAACTAGCTTATTTGCTGTATGACCTTGACTAGAATGATGGTTGGTTATCTAATCTATAAAGTAGGACTAGTCTCCAATTAAAAACATAGTGGGAACTACTGATCATAAAATAACACAGATGAATCTCCAGTGTGTTTTGCAGAGACAAGAAGCAGATTTAAGGGGTTGTGCCCTGGGTGCAGCTTTTTGCTGTGGTAGTCTAGGTAACAGAGCACCCAGCATCAAAAAGCAGATTAGTGGGGGGTGGAGGGTAGGGAGATGGCTCAGTGTTTTAAGAGCACTTGCTGTTCTTCCAAAAGACCTGAGTTCAATTCTTAGTACCCACATGACAGCTAACAACGGTCTGTAATTCGAATTCCCTCTTCTAGCCTCAACAAGTATCAGGCATGCATGTGATACACAGATAACACATTCAGGTAAAACATACCTATATGTCCAGGCATACATGTAAAATAAAAATAAATATTAAAAAATAAAAAAGCAGATTAGCACTTCCCAGGGACAGGGAAGTGCCATGACAAGAGGCCAACCGAGTATTGTGTTGGCAAAGAGAGCTATTCCAGAATACATGCTACTTGAAGCTCTCAGACCTGTCCAATACAATGAGTAAATCACTGCACATAACATACTGTCAGTGAAATTTTCAGCCACTGACTTCATTTTAAAATCATACCCCTAATCTAAAAGGATTGGCAGAAAGAGGAAATGCCCACTAATACACAGATATAAGCATGATCTCATGGGAATATTGATGACATTTTATGGAAGATGGGTCCTATATAATGAAGAAATTGCTTAAGTTTGGATATTTATAGATTTTTATAAATTGTTTTAGTTGGAATAAATGAAAGCAGTTCTAGAATTATTTAGGAACTTGTTTCAAAAGCTCCTCTTGAGCAACTGTGCTTGGTTCCTTAGAGAAAGCAGGGAGTAATAATTGCCAGTGATCTGTTTAATATTAAACATTCCATGCAGTTATATTTACATCTAGAAAGTCTGAAGCACTAGATCAACCACAGCATGACTCTTTTACACACACACACATACACAGAGATCTACACATGTATAGATAACTCTTTTCCTCCTGATACATACCTAAATCTCTTAAGAAAATGTAGAGACTGAGGTGTAGCTCAGTGGTAGAATAGTTGCATAGTATTCACAAATACCTGGATTCATTACTTAGAGGGAGGGATAAAAATATCTCTGACTCGGATATTTGGGTCTTAAGGGCTACATCTCAGTTACCAAGAACAGTGTCAGTGATAATGACTTCAAGTCCTTAGGTCACTGAAGTCCCTTCATTAATCATGTTTGTTTGCTAAAGCAGGATACAGAAAAATTTCCAAAAGAACCTCTGCTCTTAAAGAACTTATTATCTGGCTTGTAGATAAAATAATTTGGTATAACTAATTATAGAATAAGCTTTATTCAAGTTTCATTCAATCTTTCTCGTGTGTGTGTGTGTGTGTGTGTGTGTGTGTGTGTGTGTGTGTACGTGTGTGTACGTACTCAGGTGTTTGTGAAACAGGGTCTCACTATGTAGCTCTAGCTGACCTGGAGCTTGATGCATAAAACAGACAGGCCTTGAACTGTTATTTAACTGTCTATGCCCTCTTCAGTGCTAGAATTGAAGGTATGCACCAAAGCCAGCTCAGGTTCTATCTTTATAAAGAAATGTATCAATTACATCTAAGGCATCATTCTAACACTAGCTATGTCATACTGTCAAAGTTCATGAGGTCTGATTCAGGTACTAGCAAAGTACAAAGTAAAACAAATAGATCTCCCAGGGCTGGGGAAATGGCTTTGTGGTTAAAAAGACTTCTCTTACCGAGGACCTGGCTTGGTTTCTGTCACCCACATGGTGACTGACAGTCACCTTAACTTCACTTGCAAGGATCCAATGCTTTCTTCTGTCCTTCATGGATACCAGACACACAACACAGTGCACATACATACATGCAGGCACTCTCACATTTGCATAAGTAAATCTTTTTTGTTTGTTTTAGTTTTTAAATTATATTTATTTTTTTGCAATTTTTATTTGAATTAGAAACAAGATTATTTTACATGATCCCAGTTCCCTTCTCCCTCCCATCCTCCCTTACTCCCCCCCCCCAACTAAAACCCTACCTATCACATATCCTTTCTGCTC